ATGCCACAACTTCTTCAACACAAGTACCTACATTTCAACTTAATGACTGACTCGGGAGATATTAAGTAACCAAGGTCGCTTTCTAACAAGTTCTTAGTGGCCATTACGACAAGTCAAGTATATCGTAGAGCCGTGAGTAGAAAACAACATTGCCAATATGTTGTAATTTCACAACGTGAGCAATTAATTCAATCTGTGTAACTAGGGTATATCTAGCATGTCGGATAAAATGAAAACCATTGAGGTTGTTAGGATATTTCTAATTCTGTTCGATAGGCAGAGCCGTAAGTGACACTATATATATAATTTTAGTGTTATTTTCGTTATAGAGCACTTTAGAATATATGATAATAGGCAAATTTGTAGTCATCATTATCACATCAACAGCCTTTAATAGTCCACTGCTGAGGCAGTAAACTACGCAGGATAACAAAACTGCAAAGAGAAGGAAAACTTGAAACAAACCCGTCTAGCCAGCGTGGTACAGTGGGCCAAAACTTCCTTTCTAAGGAGAATCATATGTCCAGCAGTGGACTATTAAACGCTGTTGATGATAATGATGATGTTATTCAATTTTTAAACTAAGTTAGAAATGGATATCGTGAATTCATCATCAATTGATTGGCCTTTGTTGATTATGAATGTAATAAAATATTGTACACAATATAAACAATATAATATGTTTACACACAAAATCACGTATTTATTTTCACCACGCACATGATACTTGTAGTTTGACCCTGGATTATATCCTCAACAAAAGTTTTTAGCTTACAAATGCAGGAATTCCACATTCCAATCGAGCGCCACCAGTGATTCATAAGTTTCGAGTTGATAATTTACGATTCGTGTCGGTTTATTTTTTATTAATAATATATTTTGCTTATAAGCTTGAGTGTATGTAGCATTTATGAATGGCTTGATGAGTTTTAAAACAAAACGGCCCATTTTTGACTTCATTTTATAATTGTTACAAAAAAAAAATTTTCTTCTATTCAATATTGTGTAGACTATCAAAATGAAGGGTCTCATAATTTTTTTACAAAAATATATACCACTTATGTGTATATGACTTGGAATCAATGCTAAAACCAAATATTGTCGGTATCTTTTCAGTTCATTCATGAACTCAGTCGGTTTTTTGTTTTTTTTTTAAATAATGATTATGTTTGTTGCTAAGTTTCACAAGTAGATAGTCCACAATTTCGGCTTGTTTACGAGCCACCTGACTTGGTTATTACCTCCAGCCTATAGAGAATAGAGGTGACAAATAGGTATACTACGTTACCACCTGATGTTGCGATTGTTTAACAAGGAAAGGTGAACAACCTTGTATTTCATTAGCAACATCGCTGTATATAAACTCAAATAACTCAAAATATCTTTATTTCATATTTTTTTATAATTATTTGAAATCGTCTATTGTGTAGACTCTAAAGTCATACATCAACACACACAATAGCAACAATCTCTGTTTTGTCAAATATTTAGCAAACTAAATATTGACGGGCCTGTTGGTCTAGTGGTTAGTGCCCCTGACTGCTAAGCCGGAGGTCGTTGGTTCGATTACCACCCAGGACAAATATTGTGTGTTGAGCATGATCATTTGTTCTGTGTCTGGGTGTAATTTATCGATAATATGTATGTATTTAAAAATATATAAGTATGTTTATCAGCAGTCTGGTCACCATAGCACAGGCTGTGCCTAGTTTGAGATCAGACGGTCGTGTGTAAAATGTGTGAGGTATATTATTATTATTATTTTATTTATTATACGTATCAAAAATTTCTTACATGCCTGTGCCTATCTACAACCGCACATTTCCAAGGTGTTGAGCCAGCCAATCATGAGAAGAAAGGGCAAACAAACTCACACTACATATACTATGTCAAATGGCATCATTAAATATACACAACATTGTTTTGATATGTGCCAATATGTAAGTTTTAAAGACTAAAAGGTAAAGAGGCAATTTATAAAAAAGAAAGTTAAGTAAAACATTAAACAATGGGAAATTAAATAATAGACACACTAGCGCACATCACATTTCCACTACAAAATAGCCTGTGCTAAATTAATAAAATTATCCCAAGCATTCTTGTCTTCTATGTAATCCACAATTGAGTAATAGGCTTTCTGACATGACGGCACAGTTTGCGTTTTATTGTGAATTTAAATGTGTTAAATACTAAAATCTTGTATATAAAAACATTGATAGTTATTTTTACCCTGCACCTGATATTAGAACTCTGAATTACATTTTCAACAAGTGTTTTGTTTACAAACGCGGGCGTTCCTCTTAATGAATCATAAGTTTCAACCATACTTCTGGCAAATCAAATACTGTTTTTTTTTGTATACAAACTGTATATAAATACTGCTAAATTTAAATTTCTTTTCAACAAAAAATAACATGTTTAAAATGTAAAACTTTACGACTTACCTCCTACAATTCTTAAATTTCAGATCAGCAACAATTTGTTTATTCCAATTTAGTTTACTTTCACGATTAATTATATAAATTAGTCATGAAAGTGAAGAGGCTTTGTAATGAAATTTAATAATTAGACATTCAGTTAAATAAAATTTAACACGTACACTCTACTTTTATTTAGTTTATCTAATTAATTCTGCAACATTGTAATAATAGTTCGGTCACAATTCAGTTTCGATCAACTTTCGGTCTCACAACTATCATAAAAGTCATAATCGTAAGCAGATTACCGATTCAATTTTCGGTTACAATCACATTTCAGTCGACGTTGGATGTTTAATACTTTACTACGAAAATACCTTTTATGACAGTTGTGAGATCTAGAGTTGATCGGAATTGAATTGAGACCGAAGTTTTATTACGAGTATTGGCCTACTGGTTGTGAGAATCTTGTATTACAAAACCCTATAGCATTCAAACATCTTGCGTTATGCGTATTACAATAAATAGATTCAATAACCGATTTGACATGTAACAATCGTTGTGATAAGCGCCTACACTAGACAGTAGTGATGGATAGAGGCAATAATACCATAGGACATGTCCTTGTGACACCTGTCATCTGTGTCAAACTATGATCTTTCCTTTATTCATTCTCTCCTGCGAGAAGTTAACGTACTTATATTATTCGCAGTTGTCTGATTTCGCAACGATTACGAAATGAATTTAAGCACCTTATGCATGAGCAAACACACTTCCTATCTAAGGAGAAGCCTATGTCTAGCAGTCGACTATTGAAGACTGTTGCTAATGATGATGATGATAACGCATGGGCATCTCTACTTGTGTAATACTGTTTGTTTCTGATAAATAAGGGTTCCAGAATTTAAAGATAATAAGATTTGATGAGATAACGCTCAATGATACTATACTTTTTGGCTCCCAAGTAGTGTCATAAAAATATAGATTGTTATTGAGTTACAATATTGTATGATGATCAGATCAACGGTACTCTAACATAAAACACACACACATTGATTGTTATATATTTAGATTGATTTTATAATTATTGACAATTCCCATGAGGTCAACCACCAGGTATTAAAATCGTAGCTATAAGTTTCATGGATCATAGTCATGCAGCTCATAAAAATACACATAACCTTTAGAAGTGCTGACTGAAGTGAAACTGTTGCGAATTATAAGTGTAATTAAAAACCAGGTACTAGGAGAACAGAACTTATTAGTAGAAACGCTTTTAAGAAACAGGGTATCCCTTTATTCTGATAGCATATCAATAAACAAATATAGAAAGAGAAAGTGGTCCTTTGTCTCATTTGCGGCTATCGCATCCTTGTAAGAGTTCTGGCACTGATAGGAAATAAACCAGTGAGACAATTACACTGTACTTAATTAAACGTGTTTGTCATAACACAGTAGTTCTGTTTTATTTAAATATCTGTAGAATTTTGGTTTGTATTAGTCCGTAGAAATATTGGTGTTGTGCGCATACAAATTCGATGCGATATTTCAGAAGATATTTTAGAAGTAAAAGTGTTAATGTATGTATGTGTTGTTATCGGAAGTCTCTCGGGTCAGTCTGTGTCATACTTTAGGTGTTCTGTGGAAGGAGATTAACAATGTATTTTTTAGTACAAGTATCTGTTACAAGATATTTAAGTCAAGTTTATAATGGCAACTCTGTTTGCTTTTGAGATAAAAGAGTGTTACAATTATTTGCAAATTTTAAAACGATTAGTCATTTCGCGATATTTATTTCTGAGAAGATGAATACAAAAGAAGACTGTTCTGAATTTAATATGTAAAACAATAAAACCCTTAAAAGAAAGCAAACAGTGTTATAATCTTGGTTTCTGTAAACAGATATGGTCGATATACACAATTTATTATTCTCATAGAAAGATGACTTACATTTGTAATGAATAACAAATACCTACGGGTATTTGACAAGTCAAACATTTGATCGTGTCATACTTAAGGGAAAAAGATTCTTCAAATGTTTCCTTTTATATTCTTTTTAGGTATAGACTAAAGCTTTACTATCTACATGTTAATTTTTCAGTAACAAATAATTTAAAAACAAATAAAAAATATATTCATCAGACTTACGAGTATAAGGGGAACTATCAGTTAAAACTGGTATCTCTAATTGACTAAATATTCGCAGTTCTATTTATAGTAAACTTCTGTAAGGTTAGAATACGATTCTGGCTTTCAACGGGGTCTTAAAGTAGTAAAAAACTTATAAAGTTTTACTATTGTAAAATAACCTAGAGATTGATGATCTCACAGTTTATAACGTAGAAGATATACATTAATAATCCTTTTGTATAATTTTTTTACGGTTGAAAAGTGGTTTTAAACAAGAATCAGTTGTTCTCACTTATGACAAGTCATAAAAGTTTTTGTACAATCATAATTTTCGTATTTGTTACATCTCCAAGCGAAGGTTAATTTCGTTAAATCTTTTGGTCAAGAAGTAAAATGTTTTGTGGCAATTAATACAACAAAAATTATCAACCTGTTCTTTTTCGTTGTTCTCAGGTGATCATTCCTTCTGCAAGCGACATGACCGAGCGGTACCATGTACCGCCGCAACCGGAGCCTCCACCAGTCATGCGAGCTGCTGACCTCTACCCGCGACTGCGAACCCAGTACGATGAGCCTGGGTTAGATGCGGGATTCACACCGATATGTGGCGAGTTTGTGCAGGTAACTATTCCTCTACCTCTTATGATGTCTTAGTAGGGTCTATTCTTCGAACTCTTTAATCAGTAATAGTGATTAATGACGGTCACTAAATATGAGAAAATTTTGTCCAATCTAAACGTGAGGTAATATAAAATCTGTGTATTGCTATTTTCAAACACTATGGGTGTGTTTTAAAAACTGGCTGTCCCCTTGAACCCGTTGAAGCTTTCTAGTAACTGTCATTTTTAAAATACCACATTCGCAATAAAAAATTTTTTTTCATGTAGGCTTTTGTAAAACAAATTTGAAAAAATCAATAGTGTTAGCCTATGATCTTTAATCATGCAACTTTAATATAACAAAGTTAAAAAGGAAAATTATTGATTAAAACTTATTTCATCAGATGAGTTTACTTTGGGCGAGTTCAAAACATCAACTGAACTGAGATTAAACTGCCTACTTAAGCGTTATGTAAAGGAATTAATATTTTGTATTGCCCCATTAAATACTTGACGACGACGCGTTCTTAACTATACGATTGGCCTTTGTTTTTCCTTTGACGCAAGCAGATTAAAACCGGTCGAGTTTCAATATTGTACTGACCCTAATTCCAAATGTAATGTTACTACTGAAATAAGGAAAACCTAATACTAATTAATGGTTTTCTTATTTATTTATAAAACGATTTTATTGTATTAAAATAATGAAAGTAAGGTTTCAGACTTAAGGCGAGAATTTGGAGTAAAGAAACTAAAACTAAAAGACAGGTTAAAAACTTGACATTGTTCGTTTTTCATTACTTTTTGACAACTGTTTATGTACATTTGCTATAAACCTTATATTACCCACTACGAAATAAAAAAAAAACATTCACCAATGTAGTAACTAATCGAATTTTAATAGTACGTTACGTTACATTCTTAAACGGTTGTCCGGACTTTGTACTCCAGTATTGTTTCTCAACGCAATTACAATGTTGATACGACCAACTCAATAAACATGAGTACGACAAAAACGTGTTGCTAACAATGATATGCATATAAATAATTAGCAAAGTAAATTTATTATACGCGTACATATTAAGTAACTGAGACCTTTAAGTTCAGCGGGTCGAATGCAACGGGTTGAATGAACTGTAATGACGTTCTGATAGTATTTATATGATTTAACTCCGTTCTAGTTTTGCATTCCTGGTAGTTCATTGCACTGCTCCTTATCAAATCAAAGCTTGCATACGTTCAAAAACTGCATGACGTGTGCTCTTATTGCCTCTTATGCAGTAGGATAGTCAAACCTATTTATATATATATATTAATTATCGACAACTAAAACTAGATGAATCAACGTCAAACAATCAGTCACTGATCTAACTGCACGGATGGCGTAGGTTCCTACTGCGCCTGCGCTGAGTGTTGTGGGTTAGATTCCCACAAGGGACAACACTTTGTGTGATCCACAAATTGTTGTTCTGAGTGTGGGTGTTCTAGGTGTCCACTTCATTTGACTGTAAAGTTCCCCCATTTTTTATCTAAAATTGTTAATTTTTTATACATTTTTGTCTCGATGTTATTTTTATATTATACAGTAATTATTAATTAGTAGAAAAGCGTTAAGCTTGTAAAATAAGTAAAACAATTTAAATTACCAGAGCTACTCTATTCCAACTGATTTCGAATGCATGAAGTGAATGAGATACCGTGTGTGAACTCACGATATTACCGCATATCTCAACAAATCAGTTCGCTGTCCCGGGAATATCTATTGTATGTAAATCTAATACTTTAACTTTTATTATGAGAATTAATACAATCATTTTTTGTTTAATTACTAAAATAGGCCCACTTTGAGAAGCAACTAATGAGTGTTTGTTGGCAGTGGGTAGGCCGCACAGCGGACGGCACTATCGCAATGTCAAACTACCGACTTCACGTCCAGCCCCGACGCCGTGATGGCCTCGGTGTCTCCATCCCGCTCCGTCTTATTGATGCTTTGGAACCACGCGATCTTGTACACCTCATTGTGCTTTGCAAAAATGGACGCCAACTCAAGTAAGTGCTGTTGTTATCTTATGATGGCTTAGTACTTTAGGCTACTAATGCAAGAAGAGGAGCATCAAAATAAATATAGGTTTATGACGCGCTGATTGGACCGTTTTGTGTAGTAATGGCCACAAAGTAGCTAAAACTAAAATTAAATATGTGTATGTATATTTGAGATCCAGTATACATTTTGATCTGTCATAGTACAAATGTCTATACAATGGCAGATCAAGTTATATTGGTAAATGAATTAAAACAGAATACTTAAAAAAGTCCAAATATGAACGCCAGGCGATTTCAATATTTGTAACTATGCCAGAAGTTTAGATTAAGAATTTAACAATTGAAAAAACTACCAAAGAGCATTATTTTGACGTGTCTGTTACTAACTTAGCAACTAGGTAACAATTCTGATAGCGTTGTTGCTATAACAGTCAATTAAGGTTATTGACTGATAATAAGCCGGCTAAAAGAAAGCGGGCATATAAATTTTCCTTTAAAAATAAGATAGTTTTGTTTAAATAAATGTTTGTTAATGATATGTCTACATTTAAGTTCTTTATTAGAATGTGTTACTACATATTGAGTTCTTAGCTTTATACTATGTATACATATTATTGCGTGTATAGGAAACGCGGGCTCTTTTAACCGAATTCAATAAAGGATAATTTTGAGTAATTCTTTTTAAAATATACTTAATCACAACCATCGTATGTCCACCATTTGTAAAGCGATTTCGGGTTTAAATTGACTTGTTCACAATCAAGTTACCCTCGAGGTTGTTTCCATTTATATTTCAAGAAAATATTTTATCATTTTTAGCTTATTACAGTTTGTCATGACTTGGTGAATTGATAATTTCTTAAATTAATGATTTCTTGCCTGTATACGGTACCTGCGAAACTTATACATAAAAAGAGTTTTCCTATAAAAGTTAATTTATTCTACGGGAGTTTTGGAGTTAACTAGTAACTCTGGCAGATTCTATTGACTCTTGTTCATCCGTAGAACGTACTCCTATCTTCTATAAAATATAATACCAAAAGTAATATTGTTCTCTTTGTATAAGGCGATTATAATTATTAAAACAGTATATAATATTCTAACACTATTGTATTTCGGTCTCGATACTGTAAATATGCTATATTATTGATATTAAATGGATGATATTAAATGGAACTTTTATGTCATTTATTATAGATGCACATTCACCACTGGAGATCACTGCCTAGAATGGTGTAGGCGGTTGAACACCGCTCTAGCACCTTTAGGTTCAATTCAGGAAACGTTTGCTGCTGCTTACGCGGCGTGGGCGAAGGAACAACCACCGACTTCAGTACACAGAGCTCTTATAAGAGCATCACAGTCTGCGCAGCGACATTGGTTTGGACCAGAAGTGAGTAATCTCTTTGCTATTGTTGAGTTCCTAGTACTTAGGTTCAAGTAGATAAAGTACTGGAAATAAACTAAAACTGATAAATACCATGGCAATAGACATAATACTGTTATATTATTAGAAATATATTTGTTATACTTTTAAGCTCCTATGATTTGCTTCAATCGAAAATAAAAATTATTAAGCGTTTCAAATGATAAAATAACTGTCAGGCCCCCATATTGGTTCGTAATTGGCGACCAACTTCACTTAGAAACGTACGGTTAGAAAAAAAGTAAACAGGTGCGGTAGTACAAGTGTTAACAATGGTAATAAACTATGATAAATGAACTGTGAAGTATTGTGATTTATGGTTAGGTGTACTTAACAGAGCTTTTTATTGCGTTAATGTTCGGCAGTGAGGAAACTACTAATTATAAAAAAAAACAGATTAAGTGTTAGTAAATAAGTCAATTAATTTTTTTTTGTGGTTTGGTTTCATTTGTATGTTGGTTGTTACTTTTTGACTGATCAATATTGATAGTGCAACTTTTTCAAGAAATTTATATATATTGTATGTACTTAATACATATTGTAATGCTATAACACTATTACAACAGACTAAAAATATGGCAAATTCGCAGTGAGAACAGGTGTACCCGGAAAGTGAAGTAATGAAAAATAATTTTAATTACTGTTGTAGACACATTTAATTGTATAGGTTGTATTAATGAAATACTTTAGATAACTTTAAATGTCAGACATAAAACTAGTTTTTTTTTCGAAAGTAATACTTTTTATTCTGACAGTACTTTTTGACTAGTCGCGATTATCTTATTGAAACGCTTAAAAATGTTCGGTTATCTAAGCTAATAAAAGAACACACGTAATACACACTTCATCTTAATTCATAAACGCCTGGTACTTATTTTGCTGAAATAATAACAAAGTAGTTCTTAGGAATTCTCTCATTAATTAATTATCTGAAGGAAGCCGTGTGAAGCCCTCTACAATGTTTTATGGCCATCTTAATATTTCCGCCAACAAGTAATTTTACATAATATTACAATAAAAATGTTGAACATAATGTGCATTGGATGTAATTGCATATTACATAGATAGAAAATAATTACATAAATTACATCAGCATCTTGTAAACGGCTGTTCAGTGGATATCAATACCGAAGCTCATATGTATGTATCAATTAAATTCAGCCCTTTGTTATGCATTATTGTTTGTGAAATGGTTAGCAACATTATATGTCAAAACAAAATGGTGACATCTAAAGGTTTTTTTTTTTAAATTCTCGATTTCGCTCGGGTGTCATTTCAATTTGCGATATAAAAATATGAAAAACTAATCAGTACCTTGCACAGAATGTCTAAATACATACAAACTTATAAAACTCTTTATAATATCTTATATATAAAATTCTCGTGTCACAATGTTCGTTCCCGTACTCCTCCGAAACGGCTTGACCGATTCTCATGAAATTTTGTGTGCACATCGGGTAGGTCTGAGAATCGGCCAACATCTATTTTTCATACCCCTAAATGGTAAGGGTGACCCATCCCTATTTTTTTTTGTTTTGCAATACAACGTTTGCCGGGTCAGCTAGTTAGAATATAAAGTTACCAGTAACGTCAAACTTGTAGATTAATATGCTACTTTATATTCACCTTATGACGTGACTCGTGATGTATTCCCACGTCGGTGTCACCGAATGAGTATTACTTCATATTTTTTTAATTGAAATCACTTTACTAAGACTTTTCTTTTCATTACAGTTATGTCATTGTTACTTACCGATTACATATTGCACCTGCATGCTTCGGCAAGACAATTACATGGATGACAGAAATTCAAAACTCTGTTCTTAAAAAAACAAAGGGATTTAAAAATAACCCCTTATATACAGAAGCAAACACTTTTAAGTTTAACTTCATATAACAGAAGGAATAGTGCAAGGCTAATATAAGCATAACTTTACGACATTAAGTCCTCAATCATCATCATCAACAGCCTTTACTAGTCCACTGCTGGACATAGGCCTCTCCTTAGAAAGGAGGTTTTGGTCTACTATACCACGCTGGCCAGACGGGTTGGTATGGGGTTTGTGTCAAGTTTTCCTTCTCTTTGCAGTGCTGTTATCCTGCGCAGTTTGCTCCCTTAGTCGGCTCTTACGACACCCACGGTATGAATAGGGTGGTGACACTTTGTGTTCTTAATCTGTCACCACACGGACATTAAGTAAAAATAATAAAAACATTACTTTCCTGTAAAATTACAAAAAGTGTTACTGAATTATATGTATGAGTTTATATTATATACGTACTTATCTACTGTCTATTGCAGTTAAATACATTTTTATCAACCCGTCCAACCCATCTGGCCAGCGTGGTATTATAGTAGGCCAAAACCTCCTTTCTAAGGAGAGGCCTATGTCCAACAGTGGTCTATTACAGGCTGTTGATGTGATGATGTGATGTGTGACATTTTTATCAAAGAAACCTGTTTTTCATTGTTATCAGTTGTCATTTTTCCAGTATTACTGACTATTTGAAAATTTTTATTAATAAAAAAAAAATTGTAAGTGTGGGTGACTGTAGCTATACCTAATTTTACCAGTCTTCTGGTTAACACGACCTTACCCTAATCCCTTAAGCAAACCAACACTAATATCCTTCAGTAGTAAACTCTAAATGGCTTAAAAACTTACACAAAAACTGTTGGAATTTGTTTCCTTGACCGTTGGATTTTGTTTCAGGTGGAACGGTTAGGATTCACATCAAAAGGTGCGTGGAGAGTGACGGCAGCTAACGCGGATTACAAGTTGTGCCCCTCGTATCCACCTCTCCTAGTAGTACCTGCTTCGATCTGTGATGAAGACCTCAACTCTGTCGCAAGGTTAGTGTTTAAATTTCGAATGCTTTGATTAAATTGAGACTAAAGGAAATTTCATGATACTAAGAAGCCGGATCATAAAGCGCCTGACCTTTTAATTGAAATATTTGGCAACAGAGTACCTTTAATCCTAGGTTGTAATTAAAATCATATTGCTTATGTGATTGATTCTGTTATAGATAGCAGTCTGAATATAATAAAAAAAATCTTAATGTTTAAACAAATATATTGATGTTTTCGTCGGCCTCTTATTGTATATTAATAACATAATTATAGCATATATTAATATAATATAGGCTCTATAAATTGGACAGGTGTGCTACAAAAACATTGTCTTGATAAAAATTTACATAAGTCTATATTAGTGTCATGTCATCATTAAATTTATTTTAAAAGTATGTGAGTGAAATATTTTTTATATTTTAAAATAAATAACGTACCTATATTAAATATATACAGAAAATTAAAAACACTTGTTCATATTTTACAATATAATTTACATGTCACATTTATACTTTGGGCAGTTCCGGTTTGTTGAATGGCCTTGTTGTAGGATCTCTCGGAAACGCCGGTCTCTTCAGCGACTAAGTTTTTCTCTTCTAATACCTTACATGTCAACAAGATAACAGCCTATCCTAACTATCTAGGGCCTAGATATCTGTCTAGGCTAATGTCTTCATTCCACAGACCAAACAGATGTCTAACCATATAACACATTGTCAGGTTTCGAGCTATGCGTCGAATCCCAGCTGTAGTTTGGCGTCACCGCGGCAACGGAGCAGTGATTGCCAGATCATCTCAACCCGAGGTAGGCTGGCTGGGCTGGCGCAACACCGACGACGAACGATTACTTGCTGCCTTCGTCAGCGCCTGCAACGCCGACAGGGGTATGCAGCCACCTACTAACAACAAGGTAATATACGCTTACATTTTATTTAATATCATAGGTCATAACACCGTACTGTTACGGATAAAACATACCCTATTCGTCCGGGTCAATAGGGTCTGTTTTATGTACTTCTTTCAATGCGTAAAATAAACCTCTGATTTGGGTAGGGAACTGGCAAGAAAAAAGGCCTAAAACAAAAATAAGAGAAATATAAAGAATGTTCTTATTATCTGACTTAAAATAATTAAGATTGGTCAATAATTCTAATTTAAATTCACCCTATACACTTGAAAATTCTACTGTATGGTATATGTATATATATATTTAATTTACTATGAGTATTAGTTTGTAACCGTCGAGGAATTTAACTTAACGTATATATGAGTAATTAATTGTTTCAGCAACTGAAGCTTGTTATCGTTGACGCTCGTTCCTACACATCAGCCGTCACAAATAGAGCTCGCGGTGGCGGCTGCGAGTGCCAAGCCTACTACCCGGCAGCTGACATACAATTCATGTGTCTACCTAATATACATTGCGTGAGAAAGAGTTTCCAACAAATGAGAACGTTAGCGGCCGAGACATTCGACAGCGCCAAGTAAGTAAAACCTCTTTGTGTTTTATGCTTGCCTAGTACCTACTGCATACATGCACTCACGCAGATAACTCTTTAGGGAAACGTACCATTTTGTATCAATCGGACTCTAGTCAAATTAAGAGGATACTAATAATAATAATAAATTCACACATCTCACACACGGCCGTCTGATCCAGGTACAGAATCTGTACTATGGCAACCAGACTGCTGATGAACATACTTAAATATTTCTAAATGAATGCCCATCACTCAATTATTTGTCCTGCTCTTGCTTAGCAGTCAGGGTCACTTACCACCAAACCCGTCGATATTGAAAGGTGGATTGCATAAGTATTGTTTTACTTTCAAATAAATGTGCATACATACGTTTCTCTTGTATAACCACTATGTTCATTTCCGAATTACATAACAATAGATACTAAGGAAGACTGGAGGCTATTAAACAAAATGTCATGAGGTTAATAGTTCTATTTACATGTCGCGTTTTCCGTACCTACATCGTAGTTGACACCATCGAATGTAATACCTACTAAATTTGTTTATTTGAAACAGCATTACCTAACTTCCTTTTAAATCGTTAATTAGATTATGAATTTTGAGTATCTCGCAATGGTCAGCTTTGATATCAATATACTAGACAATCGTAACGAATCTTAATCAACACTAGATGTTCGCAAGTACGTCCCGTTACATGTTGACGACGTTTTTATAGTCAATTCATCGTCACTTCATCAGGCCTTTTAACTGAGCAAAATTGACAAAACGGTCATGAAACAGTCACAGCGCGACACCGATTTTCTGTGAACATACACCATTTGCGTTAAGAAAATAGTGACGCATTGATCAAGCCCCGCACCCTCCCTAAACAGGTTCTAAGTATTCGTACGAAACGATAATTTCTTAGAACCTGATTCGACTGTTTTATAATAATAATAACTTAACTTAATAACACATCTCAAATAATGTCTCAAATAAATTAGGCAGAGACTGTGCTACAGTAACCAGTCTGTTGACAAACATACTTAAATATTTCTAAATACATATATAGTATAGATAAATTACACCCAGACACAGAACAAATCATCGTGTTCATCACACAATTATTTGTCCTGGGTTTTCATCGAGCCCCGAATTTTGAGAGGGGCAGTCAAAGGCCAACAATGTACTTATGACTCTTGAGCTCTAGGTGTACGTGAGCGAATTAATGCGGTAAGGGACATGGGGCGACCTGATTGCGTGATTTAGTGATAGGCGGTGGGAAGCTTCTGGCTTCCCTCTTGATAGGGCCTAGTAGGTGCGGCGTCGATCTGGGGGGGACCTAAAATCACATGGTACTGGTCCTCCCCAGAATAGGTCTTCTGTCTCATTCACTTACTGACTTTTTATATTATGAGATTAAAAAATAATTCTGTTTGATTTATAACATTTTCTTTTATATAAACTTTGTCCTGACAATAACGAACACAAAAATATAATAATTATATATCCAATTTAGTGCAGTCGTTCGGTTCGGTTTTGCGCGTACATACATTTCGGCGATTCATTTTTAATTTATATAGATATAGAGGCAGTAATGTACACGATTTATACTATAATACATAAAACTTAATATTTATTTAAAGTTACGATTGTTCGAAGTACAAACGCATCATTCTTATCGGTGATCACACCCGCCCACCAATTGTACACCTCCGTAACGCGTCAATAAGTAGGTTACAACGATCTAGTAGAAAGAGAGCGCTTATTCGTTGTGACGGAGTATATCATGTTACTATTACGTAATGTATTAAATAAAGCACGCATTCCTTTCACATAAAGCGCCATTTATTTTGTTTCGCTTTTTGTGTCACCTGGCATGATGCCCGTCTGAATAGCATATATTGTTTTGAACGTGCTCGTGTTATCTCTCTCATAAACATTGTAGAGTCTATTTTTTTATGTATTGTATTTTAAAACACTTGTAACTAAAAAGAAATCAAACGTGAAAATTACATCCCATGTGGCAATAAGATATTTTAGTTATTTTCTAATACTTCGGTATCTAACTTCGGTAATAAAAATATACCTTAACTAGATTCATCAATCTGATTCACAGAAGATAAGTTAACCACTATCAGAGGTGATTTATTATAAACAGAAGCTCACGTGAGGTTATTTTTAGACTAAACAGTACTTATATACAATTGAACCACTGTCAAATATTGTTCTAATATAAATTTATCAAAGTAAAGTATCAGCTCTCCCCAACATTATTTGGTAAAAAGACCAGTATCTTATCTTTATTACTAATTAAGCAGATAAAACACGTATCTTATAGTAAGGCCTAAGCCCTTGAGTCGCGGACTATCTGCAGCTTCGCATCTGTAGGTCGTAAGAATCTCGCATGTCCCACTGATTCCCTCTATCATATTTTCTGCTCAAAATAAAGCAAGTATACCCACAAAGAAACGAGAAAGTAGTTCAAACTCGTGACTTATAAAAATAAACTGCTAATAAATCGTATGACATGTACAGGAATTTTGGCTGGTGTCCGCACAAAGAACTAAACTGACCTCGCCAAAATGCCTCAAGTCCCGCCAATGATATAATTGCGTTATGTATGCGCTTGGCTCTTAACGTGCATATAAATAAAATTATTATGAAGTTATGTGTTTTCAGTAATCAATAGATCGATAGATAACTATTAATTTGTACGGAGAGGCCTATGTCCAGCAGTGGACTAGTAAAGGCTGTCGATGTACATCATTGTTACTAGAAATGTCATATATACATGTGTCAGACATTGTTTACAAAGAGGGGCCTTATTGGTAAATGCAATTTTTCCAGGCAATCTGCGTATGAATCATATTAATTCATTCAAGTGTGTTATTAGATTATACATTTTGTTATACATTATAGTAGATAAACAAAAAGAGTTATTAAATTTAATAACATAAAGATCTGAGATGGTCCGCCTGTTTTTAATTCTTTTTAACCGACTTCAAAAAAAGGAGGAGGTTCTCGATTCGACTGTATTTTTTTACGTGCAATTTGTTTTGTGCCGTTAAGGATATTGTACAAGTTATTAAATAATAATAAATATATCGCGATATGGGTTCAAGGATATTTTTATAAAAGCATATTTAATTGGTCCCATTAGGTCTTTTTATCTGAAAAAAATATCAAGTTTACCACAAGAAAAAAACCAAAATTGGAAAGAAATACCTGTCTCGAATAATACGGTAGTAGCCTGTTAAACGAAATAAGATTTTTTTATTATACATCAAAACCGTAAAAACTGGAGAAATGAAAGGTTAAAACAGACTGTTCTATCATCAAATTGTTTACTTGTAATGTAACAAGTAAAAATAATCAGGAATTTGAAAGTAAGAAATTGACAAGTTTTTTTATTTGATTTGTAAAGGCCTGCAACGCGCTTATGTCTTTTGAGTTCTTGGGTGGACGTAGCCACTTAATAGTATTAAATATTTTGAAATGAAAGGAAAGAAGAAAACTCTGTAAGTGATAGCTTCCATGTTTATTGCAGAGTGAAGTTGGCACAAAGTAAAAACATAGAGTAGACAGTTCGAGAAAGTTTCAACCAAAAACCAATATTATTTCTAATGCCCTAGGTCACCCAGCCACTCTTTTGCCGCTTATACTGTATTTTCTTCAATAGAACAGAATTACATGGAGACTGTGATTTATTAAGTTGTTGTTCAGTGTGGTATGGATGGTGCTAAAGAGTGTTTTGTTCCCGTTGCAGCTGGCACACCAAACTGGACAGCACGCTGTGGCTACAGTACTTGTCGGGCATAGCGCGCGCCGCCAGCGTGGTGGCCCGCGCGGTCGCGGCGGGCCGGCCCGCGCTCGTGCACTGCTCCGACGGCTGGGACCGCACGCCGCAGATCGTCGCGGGCGCACAGCTCATGCTCGACCCCTACTACCGCACGATCGAGGTCAGTTCCACCCCTACACTCTCTACACCATATATTTATATGATTAGATGTCATCAGATACCATCTGCCGTCCAACAACGCCATTCGCCTTTTTCAAATTTTATTTGACAAATTAGAGGAAGCGTGTTATCTGTTAGCGTATACCACGCTAACATGCCAAAACCTTCTTTCTAAGGAGAAGCCTATGTCCAGCAGCCTATGGACTATTAAAGGCTGTTGATGTGTGATGTGATGTGTGTTACACATTTCGTTTAGTCCGTGTGGTGACGAATTAAGAATACGGAATGTCACCACCCCTGTTCATCCCGTGGGTGTCGTAAGAGCCGACTAAGAGAGCAAACTACGGAGGACAAGAGCACTGCAAAGAGCAGGAAAACTTGAAACAAACCCTATATCAACCCGTCTAGCCAGCGTCGTATAGTAGGCCAAAACCTCCTTTCTAAGGAGAGGCCTATGTCCAGCAGTGGACTGTTATGGGATGATGATGATGATGTTACACATTTCCGTCCCTTTCACAAAATTACTCGTATAGTTTGACAGATCTGTATTTTATTTCCTAAGGCGTTGAGCCTATCTTTGTGATGAGAAAAATAACTACAACATTTTGTTTATATTTTTAACCTAAATTTGACGAATAACATTCAGAATCCATGCTAATCTCTTATTTTCCTTCTAGGGTTTCCGAGTCCTAATCGAACGCGAATGGTTGGATTTCGGTCACAAGTTTGCGGACCGCTGTGGACATCAGTTCGGTCCGGAAGACCCCAATGAACGATCGCCTATCTTCATTCAATGGCTTGACATGGTGCATCAGATGATGTTACAGTTCCCATGCAGCTTCGAATTTAATGAGGCTTATTTGGTAAGTTGCAACATTCAATGATTCTTATTTATTCTTAAATGCAATTTCATACTGATGATGATAACGTTTACGGTCTTACATCCAGATACGCAGATGTTTTTTTATTACTGATTTTAAAGTTTTCGTAGTTTGTCTGAACACGATTTCATAGAAGTTGATACCCGGAGTATATTTATTGATTATTGTTATGTAACAAGCCCGCAAGGGCTTGTTGTTCTAGTGGTTAGTGATCCTGACTACTAAGCCGGAGGTCGTGGGTTCGATTCCCACCAAGAGCAAGTATTGAGTGATGAGCATGGTCATTTGTTCTGTGTCTGGATGCAATTCATCTAAAATATCTATGTATTTATCAGCAGTCTGGTTACCATAGCGGAGGCTATGCCTAGTTAAGGATTAGATTGCGGTATGTGAGATGCGTGCAGTTATTGTTATATGTATGTTCTGTATATTTCAGTTTTGGAAAACGTTAAAAGTTATTTATTGAAAGTTGAAAGTATTAATAGTTGAAGTGTCAAACATACAATTGAGTATTTGGGTTCGATCCCCACGTAGTTAGCGCTATCATGAGTGGTATAACCGTCCCCCGCGGTCCGCTGTGACAGATCAAGCTGGGCACGCACGTGCACTCGTGCATGTTCGGCACGTTCGTGTGCAACACGACGCGCGAGCGCCGCGAGTGGCGCGCGCACGACCTGGCGCCGCACGTGTGGCACCTGCTGCGAGCGCCCGCCTACACCAACCATCTCTACTCGCCCGACCCGCTCGACCAGGTACCCATACCCGTGTTACCTTCACCTACAACCTTTCCGAAGTGTACTACGCCGAGTGTTGTGGGTTCGAACCCCACAAGCGACGACACTTTGTGTGATCCACAAATTATTATTCTAAATGTTCTTTGTGTGCGTTTCATGTATGCTTGTAAAGTCCCCCGCGGATTTCTTTAAATAAAAAAACCCTATACTTATAGTAATGCCTTACTTTGCGTACTCGTATATGCAATTTATATGCTGAATAATTTTTAAAAGTAAAATAAATACTATTTACCTTCATGTAACGTTTTATTGAAAATAGTTTAATAATATTAAAAGTAACAGTTTTTTTTTTAATTACAACATACAAAGTACAGATAATAAAGCTATTTGTAAATACAGTGTTTTTTTATATACATCAGTTTAAAAATATATAAAACATGTGTTATATAGTTTTAAAATTATATATTTAAAACATTTAATCAGGCACAAGTATGTTAATGTTAAACTGGTTAAGTTTAATTTATTTTGATTTTATTTCCAAGTTAATATTAATGTTCTTTCTGAATATTAGATATTTTCTGTACCTCTAACAGTGTGTATAAAAGTTCCATGATGATTGGTTGAGTAAGGTTCGAAATCATAAAAACAAACTTAGTATATAATAGATAAAATACATATAGAATACGAAGGAATAAAAATAATAGTCCATTAGTTTCAAACAGCCCGTTAAAACCGATATAGTCGATTACAAAAGTAAAAACACCAAAATACTCTAATACCCATGAACATATATTATGCTCTATGTTAAATACTAATTTAACCATCCAAAACTGAAGAAAATTATTTTAAGTTACTCCACAAATTAAATCTACTTCCCGTTAAACAAAAAAAGAATACATTACTGTCTGCAATACTTTTGTTCCAGAAACAGGTTTAAACAGGAAGCCCGTTCTATATTTATGCGTAGAGTCATAAAAATATGTACCGGTTTATTACCTACTAGCTGAGACCCGCGGTGTTACCCGCGTTTGTTGTTATAACAGCCGTCTAAAAAAGTAGCCTAAGATACTCCTTATGTCATCAGCTATCTGTCAGTGAAAGTCCCGTCGAAATCGGTCCAGAAGTTCCAGAGATCACCCGGAACAGACAGACATACAAAAATTGTAAAAAATGTTATTTTGGCATATGTACCGTGTAAACATACATATGCATTTAGTAAAAAGCGGTTATTTTAATATTACAAACAGCCACTCCAATTTTATTTATTTGTATAAATATATCACGCATTTACATAAGTTACTAGCTGACCGGGCAAACGTTGTTTTGCCATATACATTATTTCTAGGAAATATTGAAAATGAAAATTTAGGGATGGGTCGGGTCACCTTTGTCATTAAGGGATATGTAAAATAGATGTTGGCCGATTCTCAGACCTACCCGATGTGCACACAAAATTTCATAAAAATCAGTCCAGCCGTTTCGGAGGAGTATGGTAACTAACATTGTGACACGAGAATTTTATATATAAGATATTTCTATAAACTTTACAAAACTCCTTTCTGAGGCCTATGTCCAGAAGTGGACTATTAAAATGTGATGATGTAAGTACCCAAGTGCGCGGGCGAGTTTTTGTGTCCGAAGCAATCAATCTTAATTTACTCAAAGCATATCGAGCTATTTTCTAACCCCTTCTAATTCGTGATAGGATTTATCTAGTGAAAAGATGTATTATAATGTGCTGTGAGGTATTTTTTTACCAAATTTTAAAACGCCGATTTTGACTCCAACTTTGACAGATCATCAAAAATCTTTTACTCTTCTAAACAAGTTAAATTCCTGAAATTTAATACACGATTAGGGTTTATCAAATATTATAGAATTTATGTGAGAAATCAGGCATTTGTTGTTATTATTATTATTATACATGTCCATGAATTTGCAAGCGGAGTGAGCCGCGTTGTGCGTTTTCCACTTCCGGCAAATAAAAATAGCTGAATTAGGATCATAAATGTAAAAATGAATGGACATGTTCCTTCATCAAGTTCGACCCATAGATATAATATAAATAGAGAAAGCGAAGTGTATGTTCCTCTGTAAGCCGTTAGATAGAGAAAGAAGACTCTTTTGGTGTTTATAATCTCTTTGCTCTCTGCACTGATTGGCTGATACTGAAGAGAGCATTTAAAATAGCCAATCAGTAACAAGAGCAAAAAAAAGTGCAAGACCAAAACAATCTTCTTTCTCTCTCTCTACCAACCGTATGCGATAGCGCCTTGTTCGCTTCCTCTAACAATTATAAGCTCTTTGGTACAACCATGTATTGTGACATGTTTAAATGGGTTAAAATTGAGAATGATGGCACATAATCGTTATTGTTTAATTTTATATATAGGCAAATAATTTATTCAACAAAAAGTTCTTAAATTATAATATCAAAACTTGCTCCGACTAAGGCAAACCATATATGTTCATTGTCTTATTCGTTGCATAATTTGCTTAAATATGTGATTTATTTCCTGCTTCTTACCACTGATTTCATATCTTGGCAACATCTTTTAGGATACACGAATTTACAAGGAAATTTAGCTAAGTTAGTTCTGTTAAGTCTCTAGAAGAGATCTGTATCGTAGAAAACAAAGTTCCAATCTTATTTTAAAGGGTCAGTACTAAACTACCACACACATTTGGCCGATTTTTTAATTAAAGATTTGTAAGCGTAAGTCAACAATGTGGCTAATTATAGATGCAAAGGTAATTAACGCTAATTCTATTATATTCGAAGTTATATCATCAAAATTCAAACTACCCATTATAAATATTTAAATTTATTCAATGAATTGATTTTCAACAGTGTCACCAGGAACTGCTTGAGTATTTAAAATAATCAAAAATCATTTTAGTTTTAATTTTATATGTTTATTAAAATAATACTCATTACATATATAAGCAGGCAGTTTAGATCTGTAATGACCTTGCGACTGTTGTTTGAATGAATTTTCAAAATGTGATCTTGCTAAATTCTAACTCTGTTTTTGCCTGTATTTGTAATTCAAAATTTTCAAGTTTATCGGTATCTGGTTTTTACTATTTTGTACAACTATTTACGACCAAAAAATAACCATGTTTGAAAGACAAATATGAAAATTAACCGGGAATGTTACGTTTCAGATACATATCTGAATAAAGAATATTATTCATACATATGAATAATATTCTTTTTTTTATTTAGTTATTTCTCTTTATTATAAAAGACATATCCTTTTTCATCCGTCAGATTTCATCCTTACAGAACAGGCTTAACTCTATAATATAGAATACATAAAAACATCACAAGAACAAATACTATCGAGCAATAATTATTAATGTATTTATAGAAAGCTAATATATAATGAAATTACAGATATTCGATAAACACACATGGACTCACAAACATGGACATTAAACAGTTATTTTTCTACTATTAAATTAAATCTCATGGCCTTTTTAAATGCACGAAATCTCCTTAAGGACACGACTGAGTAGTACAAAGATAACTTCATAAAACAAAGACAACTTACATTAATATGTTACAATAACATACATACGAGTATATTAAAAATAAAACAAACTAATAAAAAAAAAAAAATTATTATTCTATGAATAAAACTAATTATTTGTAATAACTAGAATAAGTTACAAATGAAATATCCTGGCAATTATTACACATTTGTGACAAGATTAATGAACAATAAAAGATTCTAAAGCAAAGTTAACAATTAAAATACCTGCCTCGTCTATGGTGCTTTACGTGCCTTAATACAGTTTCCGTTCACTGATGTCGTATCCGTGGAGCATAGACCGCCATCACTCATACTATCACCTGGTCCTTGTTCGTTTTCACCAATGATAACATCGCTCGTTCCCGTCCGATTAAACAGATCTCTTGGTAACCAATCATTGCCAAATAAGTAATCAAAACGTTCACACTCGCAGCTTTTCTCGTCTTCCACATTGATAAATATAAATGCGTCTAATCCTGAGAACGATGTTGATAAATCATCTTTGATAATAGAAGCGATATTTGCAGAAAGAAATACCAAAAGTAATACAACGACGACCTTCATCTCGGCAATGTTTAAGATAAATGACGGTGTTCAGAAGGTGAAGCAACATATATAGTTTCATCATAATAATATGCAATTTAAATGATGTACTAATGTGTGGTTCCGTAACAAAACTTCAATATTATTTCGAAGTTTTTGTTTCACACAAACGTACATGACATGTGTTTTTTTTCTAACAACAATTCGATCTTTTAATTCTTGGTCAATTTGTAAGGTCATTCGTGAGCCGTTCGCCTATACACATAAAACAACTTACACTTAATAACTGATTCATTAACGCTGAGCCTAAACCGTTAAGCTACAAACTTGTTTTTTTTTTTAACCGACTTCAAAAATAAGGATTTTATCAATTCGGATGTTTATATTTTTCATGTCTGTACAGCTCGTATTATACAATTAAGTTGTATATAGACGGATTTATTCCGAAATGGTCTCATTTAAATTTCATATATATCTGATAATGAGTTTCGAAGACAGACAACGAAATCAGCCGCGATCGCTGCTAGGATTTTAGTGCTCTTTCTGAGTATTGTTTAAAGTCGGACAAACTTTTTTTGAAGAATTTATATGTTGGAAGCACTCACTAAGAAAGGATTTTTGGAATTCCGTTGCTAAGAGGTTAAAATAATGGATATAACACGAAATAAAAATAGGTCGCTACTGCTACTAAATAATAAACGTATGTATGATGATTGCAGACTATCTGGCCGGAGTGCAGCGCGCGGTCGCTGTGCGTGTGGGGCGCCATGTTCGGGTCGTACAAAGACGCGCGCCACGAGGACCGCGAGCGCGACGCGCGCCCCGCCGTCCCCGCGCTCCTGCCCGCGCATAACGGTACGGTTACATCACACTATACCTGCTTATTATATCTTAGCATTGTAATATTAAAATGTACTTGAGTGTGTATTTAGGGAACGCCACCTGTAGTTGGAAGTCTTATATAAAGATTCTGAAGAGAGAGAGAGATTATAAAGAGAAAGAAGGCGTTACACTTGCGCTCGATCCTTGTGGACGTCAACGATCGGGCATCTCCCATACGAACACACACATATATCTCTATGTATATATTCTTATGTATTTCAGATGTATGTGTGTCTAAATTTTATTATAAACCACTAGACGGATTTTAATAAAAAAATTGGTGTGTTTGAGTGGACTTTAGTTTCACATTTGGATCCAATAGATAATAGGATCCTCTATACAATAAAAAAGTTTGTGATTCGCTGTTAACACTAACATAAATTCATTTATACCAAAAGTCAATTTATATTTATTTTGTCTGGCAATGCGCAGTGCAGTTATTGTGAAAATATCAGTTATTTAAAATATCTCGTTTGATTTATTGTTATAAACAAGTTATTTGATGCTTCTGCCTATTGTCAAGATACGTCCCTCTTGCGACCAGTTGCGTCCAATGTTTTATTAAACATTAGACAAAAAATAATTTAATGTCATTATTTGTCCTTTCCAGGCATCATGACAAAAACAAGATCGTGTGATAATCTTTTGAACGATGGAGAGAAACGAACAGCTCAAAGAAGATGTAGTGACCCAAGCTTAGCGCCCGATGTTATGTGAGTGTACTTGAATAATTGGCTGGTTACTTTTAATTAATACAATTACACGGTTCAGTGTTAACTATTATACTTTTACCATTTTCATACTTATCATCTTAAGAAGGAAAAATTAAAACAAACTCTATACCAACCCATCTGGTCAACGTGGTGTAGTAGGTCAAAACCTCCATTCTAAAGACAGGCTTATTTCCAGCAGTGGACCATTAAAGGCTGTTGATGATGATACAACATCATCTTTCTTCTTATTTTCGCGCTAGTTCTTTCATTCTCCTCTATCACTGCTTACTCTCTTTCTAGCCATATCCTATTGCACGCTATCCATCCATCTTCCCTTTGGTAATCCTCTACTTTTATATCCGTCAACTTTTACATATAAAACTTTCTTCACTACATTTTGCTCAGCTGCACGCATCACATATCCATACCTGGATAGCCTGTTGCTCCTCAACCTTTCATCTACTGTGGCCAGTTTCAGGCTTCTTCTAATATATTCATTCCTCACCTTGTCCATCCTCGTCACGCCACATGTCCACCTCATCAATTGTATTTTAGTGCAGGCGTTTCTCTTCAACATCTTTAATTCTGCGACTCTTCTCAGTCGATCGTTATTTCACTGCTTTATTGATGATCTGTTAATATTATTATTATTATTCTCTTTATTTACTTTATATACATATCATTTACACTTTATAAAAATAAAAAAATAAATACATTTAAAAATATAAAAAATAGTAGACCACCGACATCGGGTACAGGGACCAAGACACCGGTGGTTAGGGCTCCAAAGATAGGAACCTCCTCACTATACAAATTTTTATTATGTGTCTGGAAATCAAAGGGCTTTGCAGCTAAATCATCCAAACGGTTCAGCTTTTTTATCGTCCTATTACCTTGTACATATCAAAATCCTTTCAGTTTATCTGTATTACCTCTCCACTTTTGTATAATAAACTAGTTTATGCCCACGACTTCATTTGTATAGAAAAAGTACCTCAAGTAGCCTATCATAATTATATTATTCGTCTCTTCAACTTTTATTTAAACAACACAAAATGGCCTGTGTGTTGCCACATTTTTAACATTGTGAATGAACCACACAATGACATGATCATTTCTTCTTTCAGGAAACTATCGATGGTAGTATCTAACGAGTGTGAGAATCGAAACGAATGCAGAGCAGCTTTAACTGACAGTTGCGTAGATGACCTCCCCATATTACCCGTCAGCGAGAACGACAGCTCTCGTGAACAAGACCAAGTAAGAATATTTTATATATTACGTAATGCAGCTAACCATAGCTTGTTTTTTTTTATCGTGTTAAATCCCCCACCGGTCATCACCTCACAGGGCTCATTGTGAAGTGGCATGCAGGAATCGAACCGACTAAAACCAACCAGTGTCTTTTGTATTTCCTTTTATTGTACAGGGGGCTCAAGAGCATATTGGTGACCTGATGGTAAATGATCACCGCCCTGAAAAGCTGAAGCCCTAAAAAGTTGCCCCTTCTAAGAGCAAAAATATAGCTTTAAAAATAGAATAGAACAAATAAGCTCAAGTCTGCCTACCCCTTCTGTGAAATATAGGTGTTATTATATTGTATAATATAATTAACAAAATCCTTATTCCTCAATTGACTCATAGTGTCTTATAACACGTGTCTTCGTGTATAAGCGCCTTTATATTATGCATTTAATTTCACCAGATCATCTTTCAGGTGGACGGCCTTCACCCGGATCATTTCGAAAACAGCACCCACTTACCGCGGGACATCGCCAGCGGTTCGTCCTCTCTGGAGCGAGAGTTAGGTGCCGCTGCTGCCGTCACAGACAAAGTGATCGACCACAGCGACGACGTCATCGATGTCGTCTCCACACCCGACCCTACGATCAATGGCACGGTGGTGGACGTGACGTCACCGGATGTGGACACGCCTGAAGAGCCGCCCGTGTTCGTGTCTGACACCTACACGGATATCCTCGGGATGCAAGATGTAAGTACTCACTTTCGTCCCCCCGAAGGGGTAACAGTAATAGGGCCTATTACCGTAAACCGAGCACATGTATTTGTATATATTATGTATAATTATAGCCAGACATATGTGTCTGAGTATAGTTTATACATACACATAATATACAAATACATCTTGTTTCAAACTATAGAACTTGTATTATGAATGTTAGATTGAGTGCGAGAATATTTATATACTTTTTTTGTAAATACATACTATAATATGTACGCGGTTATAAAAAAAGTATATATAACATAGAAAACATCCAAACTACGAAACAAATATTTGCAGATCATACAAACATTTGGTCCGACCCTGGAATCGAACCCCAGATCTCTGCACAGCAGTCGCACACGCTACTACTGCACCACCGAGGTCACAAGCCTTTGTATATCAATAACCTTTTTAACCAATAAATGCACCTCCCCTAATTCTGGGGGACTGAAAGGGTGGCAACACATAATATATTTCTTGAGTTGAACATCAATCAATTATCATCAAGTGACCTAGTTGTTTAAAAAAATTATAATTATTTAAATATTTAATTAAAAATATATATTACTATTACTTGTCTTGTATATTATTTATATTTGTCCGTGTGGTGACGGATTAAGAATACGGAGTACTCACCACCCCTATTCATCCCGTGGGTGTCATAAGAGCCCACTAAGGGAGCAAACTACGCGGGACAACAGAACTGCAAAGAGAAGGAAAACTTGACACAAAAACCCTATACCAACCCGTCTGGCCAGCGTGGTAGTTAGTTTAGTATAGTAGGCCAAAACCTCCTTTCTAAGGAGAGGCCTATGTCCAGCAGTGGACTACTAAAGGCTGATGATATTATTATTAACAAAATATACATTTCCGTCAGATATGTTAACTGTAAGAGAAGCACATTTCTGTGAGTGAATGAATTACAACTCAAAGGGGAGCACTCAAAGGCAGTTGTAACTCTTGATTCGCGGGTCTCCTTAAGCGTTAAGCGACGGTAATCAAGTGACCGCCGTTCTTTTGCCATCTGTAATTTGAAAAAAATGATTCACTAAGTTATGTAATGTGATATTGGCAGGCTGCTCGCGAGTCAGGCCGCACCCGCAACATCAGCATCACATGGCGGTCTATTTCGGAGTCTTCCAACCAGTCTTCGACAGGATTCGAATTGCACGAGGGGAGGGGAGAGCCGGCAGTTTCGCGTAACACTTCCCACGAAACCTCGCCTCTCGACAGCCACAATTTAACAGAAGGCGACAGAGCGAACCATAACGTGCTCTTAGACATATCCCTAAGTCTTAATGGAGTGACGAATGGCGGTGGCCACGTTGTCGATGACGTCTCTACTAAGTTTTTAGAAGTCGATTTGAACGGTAAGTCTGACTATTTATATCTATAAGTTTAACTACTATCTACTATCTATCTGTCCGTGTGGTGACGGATTAAGAATACAGAGTGTCACCACCCCTATTCATCCCGTGGGTGTCGTAAGAGCCGACTAAGGGAGCGAACTACGCAGAACAACAGCACTGCAGAGAGAAGGAAAACTTGACACAAACCCTATACCAACCCGTCTGGCCAGCGTGGTATAGTAGGCCAAAACCTCCTTTCTAAGGAGAGGCTTATGTCTAGCAGTGGACTATTAAAGGCTGTTGATGATGATGATGATTGATGACTATCTAGGGATTTATTTAAAGACAGTAATGCAATATTAGTATTCTGTCATTTCTTTATACTGTTATATTAATTTATTATTAAAGCTCTTTTGGATTGAAACGACATTTAAATCTTTAAGAAAAGAGAGTTTTTTCACAAGAGTTGGTAAAGAATTTGCGTTTCTTTGAGTTGTAGGTGTCAACGGGTAGCAGTAGTTAACACCAGAAGGGTAATTCTCGTAACAAAACGATGGCCAAAATTCAGTTGCGATCTTCTTTCCGTCTCATAAATGTTGTGTAAGGACGGGACTCGCACTAATCAATAAGAGATGTTGCTTGTACTGAGATAGCTTTATTAATCCCCGATTACAACATTACACATGTCTTAAATACTAAGATTACTACGTCACAGTTGTAAAATAGTAAACTATTACTAAGATTACCGATTTAACTTTCTGTCATAATACGATATAACCACATTTAATTAAAGGTGGATGTTTAATACTGTACTACGAAAATACCGTTTTTTATATTTGTGAGATCGAGAATAGATCGGCACTGGATTTTAACCTAAAATTGCGAGAATTGGTCTTCAGATGATCCGTTTACTCATTTGCAACATTTATTAATCTGTGTTGCTATTAAAAAAACATATAATATTGAAGTTTTATATTGAACGATTTGTTATGTACACGTAACACCCCGTACGATGTGTCCAGGCGGTGCGACGTCGAGCAGCATGAGCTCAGAGAGCGAGGGCGAGGCGCAGGCGGCCCCGCGGCGCACGCGCGTGGCGAGCCAGCTCACGCTGTGCCCCACCTCGCCGCGGAGGGTCGACTGCTGCCGCTGCTCCAGGCGCGCCAGCAACACCAGTCAGTCCTCTCGCTTACTTATGTACTCCTAGTACTTACGCTCTCTTTATGATACAATTTTCATATCTCATTTTTTTTAAATGCCGATGTTCGGTCTTCTATCATGACATTAAGTCCGCCATTATACAACTCATTTACTTTTTTTTTAAATCCGCTTTTGTAGTCAAATGAATTTAAAACAAAAATACCTGTTTTCACAATAGATTCACTATTTTATTTTGGAAGATATTTTAATAAGATGTAATATAACTTAAGTATTGTAATAAATAATCATGTCTTTAAAGTGGAACTATATTTCACTATGTTTTTATTATTTAATGTTGGTTGTCCATAATCTACATACGACGGGTGTTAATATTGATTAAAACCCGGTATGCTACCTTATTTGTCGAATGGCTATTTTTCTCTGCTTTTTCTTTTATTTGCACAATAATAATAGCTTTAAAAATAAAATTGTTCGTCGCCATATAATCCATTGGATAATTTAACCATTTTGCGATAGAATAGCTAATAATACTAGTTTCATTCATTAATCGTGCGTTTAATTGTTACTAACGTCAAACGCTGATTATAATGCGTCTTCACTCATATAATAGTTAGTGTGAATTTATTTGACTAGCCTGTTGGTCTAGTGGTTAATGACCCTGACTGCTACGCTAGAGGTCGTGGGTTCGATTCCCACCAAGAACAAATAATTGTGTGATGAGCACTGTCATTTGTTCTGTGTCTGGGTGTACTTTATTTATAATATGTATGTATTTAGAAATATATGAGTATGTTTATCAGCAATCTGGTTACCATAGTACAGGCTCTGCCTAATTTGGGATCAGACCGCCGTGTGTGAGATGTGTGTGAAATATTAAAAATATAATTATATTAATTATTAAATATAATTATTATATTATATTTCATATAAAAATTCGCTCTGGACGGTGAGAGCGCTCGACGTTGCTGCGATCACCGTGACGATTCATAAATTGCTATTCTGAGTCTGGGTGTTCCCGTGTTCGTTTCCTGTATGTTGTAAAGTCTGTAAAGTCCCTCGCGACGCAGGATATATTCCTAATGCGGTAGTGGATTCATGAAATGGTAGATCAAGTCACATATATGGCAGGAATATACACGTGTGGTGTCTGACAGGCGGTATCGAGACGTCGGGCGAGTCCGGCGGCAGCTCGGAGCTGTGCTGGTGCGGAGGCTGCGGCGGCTGCGGCGAGTGGGGGGGCGCGGGGGCCGTGCGGCCCGACCCGCTGGACGGCCTGCCGCCCGCGCTAGACCCGCTACAGGCGCGCCTGCAGCAGATCATCCTCAATCATAAGGTAACTTCTACCTGAACCTGCACTAGGGCTGCTTCGCTGATTTTATTATTATAAATAATGCTATTGCATAAAGTGACAAGACCTATGTAGTTCATTCGCGTTACGAAAATAGTGATGCCTCGGGGTTAAAAGTGTATTCAAAGTGGGGTTACAATTAAAACAATTTACTTTGTAATAACGGACACGCGCAGAATTGCTGTTTTTATGACTGCACTCTTTACACTCACATTGAAGTAATTCAGCTTCAAAACATTATAAATTATTCGTATTTCTCCATTACGAATTATTGATACACTCTTAATCTTACGAACAGGTGAGATATCTGTTTTTTAAATTTAATGTAACGCTTAAAGAACGCAATCGTTTCGTACGAAGGTTTGCAGTTAACCGGTCAAGTGAACTTGAAACCTCAGGCCTAACTGCAAGTCTATTTCACATCTATTCAATCGTCACGGTTATCGCGTTTGGCGCTGCGATTGGTCTACATCGAAATCTTCAGTAATCGCAACGCCGAACGCGTTTGCTTTCGATTCGATTTCGAATTAAAAATAAACTTGCACGAGGTCATCTGATCTGTCAGGGGCGGGACTAGATCGGTGGACAGCGATGCGTCACTATTTTTTTTAACGCGAATGACCTATAGTAGTATGTAAATATCACTAATGAACGCCATCATCTGTTTTATTTGTAAACAATCAAACATTGTTTTGTTATATTGAGTAATTGAGTTATATATATATATATATATATATATTATATAATGGAATTATATTGAGTAAATAAATATTGTTTTTATATGAGGAAATACTGATCGTGTCCGGTGCGGTTACAGAAAGTGGTGGAGGAGCTGACGGGCCAGCTGCGGCACGCGCGCGAGGCGCTGCGCCAGACGTCGCCGGGCGGGGGGGGCGGGGGCGGGGGCGGGGGCGCGGGCGGCGGGGCGGAGCCTCGCGCGCTGGCCGCGCCGCCCGCGCCGCACGCCGCCACGCACACACAGGTAAGGGACAAGTACGTACGGCTACTGTTCCTCTTGTCATCTTGATATTACATTGTTCTTACTTTCATTATTCCATACCACTAGTTAATTTTGTATGATATTATATTTTCTAAAGTTTATCATCATCATCAATCATCAACAGCCTTTACTAGTCCACTGCTGGACATAGGCCTCTCCTTAGGAAGGAGGTTTATATTTTCTAAAGTTTAAGTGTATTTTTATTTAAATTCATTTTATTAACCTCGTACTGTTTAGACACTGATTTTAAATATCAGCCAATGGTAGGATTTAGCTCCATGTTATGTATTCGAACTCGAAAAAGAAACGTTAATCAAATTTCATTAAAAGTAAGGAATGTAGTTTTGATTATTATTATTAGTGTTTAAATAAAAACTAAAATATCCTTATTTTTAAGTATATTTCTCAATTAGGTATACGTGAAGCTGCAAAGAAAGAAATTTCCTCGAATTTCTTTTAGGTTAATAAATAATATAATAATATATCTCACACACGGCCGCCTAATTCCAAACTAGACAGAGCCTGTACTATGGGAACCAGACTGCTGATAAACATACTTATTTATTTTAAAATAGATACATATTATAGATAAATTACATTCGAACACAACAAATGACCGTGCTCATCACACAAATTTTTTTCTGAATGAGAATCGAACCGACGAGCTCTGATTTAGCAGTCGAGGTCGCTAACCACTAGACCAACGGGCCCGTTAATATTTGATATATTTTTATAAAGCATCATACACGAGTCGAGTTTTGATCGGGCGTTCCAGAAGTCGGCGGGCGCGTTTGTGACGGGGCGCAGCGGCAGCAGCAGCGGCTCGGCGTCCGAGGTGGAGGTGGGCGAGGAGGCGCGCGGCGTGGTGTGGCTCCCCGACAGCGCCGCGCCGCGCTGCCAGCACTGCAAGAACCACTTCTGGCTCGCGCGCAGGCGCCACCACTGCAGGTCACTCTCTGCTCTGTCCTTCACCACCGCCAGCTGACATGTTTATATCTAAAGCGTACTCCTTACTAAAAGACCGGCAATGCGTTTGTGACTCCTGAGTTGCAAACTTTCATGGGCGGCGATGGTCACTCTTCATCAGGTGACCCGACTGCTGGTCTGCCTCCTCTAACATGAAAAAAAAATCTAGAGATAAATGTAGTACGGTCTCTTTATTTATATATTTTAAATGTCCATCTGCAACGTTGAACGACCGATCGTAGCCAGTTATCGAATGTGTTTCGAACGAGTTTATAAAAGTAGCAGAAAGAATGTCCTCCAGCGATGAATTTTAATTGTAAACCGACCTGTCGCTGAAGAACTTGTCGCTTAATTAACTTTATAGTTTACTTGCGATCACATCATAAGGCATTTTTAAAGCGGTACGAACCATTTCTAACGGACCATCATTGGATGCAGAAAAAATGAACGAGTATATTTTGTTTCCAGACGGTGCGGCGGCATATTCTGCGGCTCGTGCTCGGAGATGAGCGCGTGGGGCTCGTGCGGCGCCGTGCGCATGTGCCGGCGCTGCCGAGCGCTGCGGTGACGCGCCCCCCGCCCCTCGCCCCCACCGCCCCGCCGCCCCCCGCCCCACGGGCCCCGCCGCCCCACAGAACCAGTGTAGCTAACTGTTTAGACCGACGACCGCACACCCGAAGGTCGTAACTAGTATCGTTAAAAGATACCCGCCTTCGACGTATCGCAAGTGTAAGGCTTCCGTTTGTCTTCTCTAGACAGTCATAGTCCAAGCGAGCCGAAATATCCACGAGACGAGAAACCGCCTTACCCTTGGGATCTGAATAACTAATAGTATTAATATGCTTGCCTGTCTAGTGGCCGAGATTAAATAGTCCTCACCCGGCAAGCTTTATGACATACCCTAAGTGAAACCTAAATGTATCCACGCACGAACGTACGTGTCGGTATACGTACGTGTATTGTCAATTACTAATTTGCTTTTGTGGAGACGAAAAAAAAAACAATACCAAAACTGATTTCAGTTAAATGTGTACCGGACGAATATTACAGAATCGAATGTAATTAATTTATTCATCACGCGTGAGGCGTGTCATAAAATTGTCGCGAAAGGACCTCCGGATAAACGCTAAGAAGTTATCCCGCATAGATTTGACATGTAACGTAGCTGACGGTCAAAACAGTTTGCGTTCAATACTAGTCAAGACGCTTCGATATCTAGCCGTGTCGTCTCCGAGACGCTATTTATCTCAGATACGTGTATCACACGAATTGTCATCTTTATATTCATTAATATCACCATGACAACGTTTTGTCGTTTGATTGTACAGTCACAGAGTATTAAACAAGAGGGGAGCTTTATAAGTTGTCCGTGACGGCTGCAGCAATGGCTTAGAATTAACTACAGATGGTCTTGCGACACCTCCTCTTGTTCGTACTTGTGTCTTAGTGTTGAATGTTTGACGAGACGAGGGGAGACGTAACGATGATAAGTGTAACAAAGTCCTGCCGGCACATTGTCCGACTCACATTTTTATTGGTAACTATTGCTTAAGAGTAGGCAACTGCCTAGGGGGTCCCTGAGGAGTTACGCATCAGTCAAGTGATGCTGCTGATATTACTTACAACCCTTCGTCTACTTACGAAGAGCTGAAAGGGGCCCCGAGATTACATTGCCTAAGGACTTCGACATGGGCCTGAATATAACCGCAGTTTAATACGCAAATTGTATAGTCAAATTATTTAAAGTTCGTTTTAAGTTTACCTATTAACCTAGTTTATTGAAAGGTCTCCCCTTTCCTATCCGGTTGTGCTCAGGGATAATCGTTTAAAATAGATTGACCGGTGCTGGATTGTGGTATAGCAGTCCGAAGACATTATATAACGGTGATATGCTCACAGGATATTTTGTGTTGAATTCAAATCTAGTTGACTGAAGGATAAATGCTCTTCAAAGGTCGACAATGTGCCGGCAGTGCAAGCGAGCGAGGAGTGGTGTGGGGATGGGGTCTAGTCTGATGTGGGAGGGGGTAGTTATGACGTAGTTAGGGAATGGTTTAGCGAATTATTGTTACGCGAAGGCTGACTTTCTACGATAAATATTTAAAACTTTTTTCTATTAATGTTTTTTTTGTCCATTATAAATAAATTCAGTGAATGTTCTATTATTTTCGATTTATTTTTTGTTTTATCGTTGGATAGAAGCGATGATTGTAACCGACTCAGCAGGTGTGAACGGGCACGTAAGACTTTGTATAAACTTGTTTTATTTTGTATTATAGTGTTTCATTTGTTCTAATTGTTTTTGTACAGTAAGGTTTTGTTTCACGCTTGGTCGGATACTGGGAGGTCTCTGGCGTATGTTGAACTGTCGTGTGGCTATGGTAGTGGTAATGTCTGTATAATGGTACTCGGTACACCAAATGTATATTGGACAATTATATTTGTTACAACGTCATAAGGTTCACAATCGACCTTCTATCACTGTAACAAATAACGTTTTGTGTATTGTGTACCATAATGCGATCGGCTGCTGTAGAGAGATTATGGAAGTAAAATAAGACTTAATTTGTATATTCGACATTTTCCATTAATTTACAAATGTATAAAATACATTTTGTTTATAATTTTAAAATATTTGACTGAATGCGCTTACGGATAAGAATAGACGATGTCCGTATTGGACATTTTGATTTATAAAATCCATTCTAAGCTTTATAATTATGTTGATACATTTATATCGTGTACTAAATTGCCACGCAGTTATAATTTTGTAGTTTAGAGCGCCAGAGTTCTCTATTTCATTTGTGATATTGTGATGATAATTTTGTATAACGGTTAAGAGTTTAAACGTGTTGTTAAGAGGTTAAATTTTACATGTGATTATGTTAAATACCCTCGAGGTGCGTTTATTTATTGTCGCGTCGTCAGACCGCGCGGTACTGAACCGCTAGCTCACGTACATGATCGATTAGACTCCATTTACAACAGAGTTTGCAGGACCTAGTATTAAACAAATTACATCTAAACCAATCTTGCAAATTTCAAATAGAACAATATGAGATCGTGGATACGACTTTATTAGAATATTAGGTTTCTAGAATCTACTATCTGATATAATCGGTTATAAACTAAATAGCTAATTGATTTTATAAATTAACATACACAACAGCACAACCAGAAAAACTTATACAACCACGAGTTTTTTTTTTTAATAAATAAACAGTATAGTACTCATTTTGTAAATGTTATCTAATTGATCGTGTAATCTAACAAACCTCCTAAGAAATTAGTGTCGTCCGCCAAATACTGAATGTTTTTGTGAAAAAAAGTTAGATTTGTTAAGTGTATACGTATTCGTATGTACGCACACGTATGCGACTGTACTTTAGCGTATAGTATGCTATGAAAGAACAACCGATTGTTGAAAACATTATTTAAAGTTCCATGAAACAAATATAGTTCAGTGCTAGTAATAATGCAAGTAAAAGCGTCCTCGCTTCGAGTTTAAATAAAAATGTTTTTGTAATTTATTCGTAAACGAGGGATTGTTGTAAACTGCATATATTTTATATCTATTGTAAACGATTACTGCGGAGAAGCGTGTAAGTTCCATTGTCGAAGTGCAAAACTTGTTTGTGACCAATGAATATTGACACGATGTGAAATAAAGCATATTTAGTTTTATGAAATTAAATTCTTTTTTTACACATACCTACCTTCTCATTAGGTTCTCATATACAGACCGTTACATAACTCTCTTAAATGTCCATTCGCTTTAAGAAAATAGTGACGCATCGATCAAGCCCCGCCCAATGACCAATCAGGTTCCAAGATATCTAGAATCTGATTAGTCGTGACGCCAAGATCAGACCACGCCAGGTTTTTCGAATATCATGTGACTAGGATTTAATACAATATTTCTACTATTTCATGCTTTACATTTCAAATTATTCAACAAAGTGGTTCCGCTATTTTGATCAAAAAGTCGGGACCTCTATTCAGTTAATGGAGATGGCATGGCGTGATCTTAAACTGAACACAACGAATTTGTTTAAGATTGTATACATTTTAATTTGCAAGACTAATTCTTGAATTTAAACAATTTTATTACAATTAATTGCGGGACTTGATCGATGCGTCACCATTTTCTTATTTACTATACCTTAGAATGTGATTATATAAAATACCTCGGTTGTCTCTTGAGGAATTTACTAGATCTCATAATCTCTCTGGATAAACGGAGTGGCAATACAGAGCATTTGTAAATAAGCACACCTTCCTTCTCTTTGTCAAAAGAACGTCGCAGAAGCGGTGAAGAGGTAAATAAATTAATGCATAAATGAAAGAATTTATTTGGAAAATAATTTATTCCAATTTTTACATACATTTGCATTACATTTGTATTTCTTACAATTAATCAACATCGATAAGACATAAATGCAATGATTGGCTAAGACTTGGTTACAAAAAAATTAGGAGTGGATACATCACGAAACAAGAACTACTAATATGTATAGAAACAACGCCTTAGACACGACGTTTTGTCAATGTTTTTTCATTACAAATTGTAGGAATGTTGTGTGATTAAAAACTTTATTTAAAGCCGATGATGGCGGCTCCGTAAAAGAACAGGATCTTTTTCTGGGTGAAAAGTAGTCTGTCCTGTCTGTTTCATAGTAACTGGATGAACACTAAGAGTTCAAATAAACAACATTTCCTTTCATAATGTTTAGATATGAGATTGGACAACTAAAAAACTAATTTCCTAAATATACTTAAGGAGAAGACACAAATTTATAAACTAAGTATAAGCGTAAAAAAGCCGTATTTTAACATAATTTTTAACGCAATTTTACGTAAAAATAACAAATACAGCGTATAAATACTGGTATGCGGTAAATAAATACTTGAAATAACTTTTATTTCAAGGTGGTTCTTAGTATTGTATTATTAATTAAATTAAATTATTCTTAGTATGTTACCTGGAGAGAAATAAAAATAAAGCATAAAAATATGACATCAGTGAAATTCTTACGGTGTGTAAACAATTACTTGTAGTGTTAACATTTTGATGCTACTAGACATTTCACCAATCAGAAATGACTAGCCAATAGAGTTGCATTCTTCAATAAAATTTAATAACTTATATTTTATTTCAATAACTACAATAAAAATAAATTCAGGAATTCAATAAACCTCAAAAAATAAACTGAATATCACAATTATTAAGATATTTAGGCAATAATTAAAATTAATTAAGCTGTGTTTTTGGCACAAAACGAAGTGTTGACATGACATAAAATGTTGACAGTCGACTTGCAACATTAAGAAGTCATTGATATATATCTATTTTTTAATTTTTAATTTAAACAGATTGACAAATATTCTTTACATGAAAATTATATCATGAAATAAAATTACATAAAGCAGCAATTTTATTGTATAAAATATGACGACTTCATTTTAATTTTCCATTTAATTTACAAATGTAATTATGTTGAAATAGCTATGCCGTGAAATGACTAGTAACCCCTACACTATTACCCTTAAAAAATTAACATGAAGTGC